TTTTCTTCTTTCTTCTTTTCTTTTCCTCTATTGGGAACAATCCTTCCTCTTTTTAGTTGACTGATTGAAAAATAAGCATATACATATTATCTAAAGTATTTCGAATTGTATAAATTATTTCGAATTGTAATGTATAATTTAGTGCATCCTAAGGGCATTATATTTTAGTCGTTTTTATTCGGCAGTAATAATGCAATGATATTGTGTTTTTCATTTGTTGTGTTCAATATCCCAGTTTTAGGATTTGTTACATTTGCCTTCCACATAATACTGCTAACCCATGTTATAAAATTTTCCTGTAAAGATCAGAGGTTAGCTATTTATATCTATATCAGACCTCTATCAGAGGTTTGATATTTGCCATTTAAAATGCAAAATAATATTTAATTCTCTCTGTGCACCTAATGTCTCAAATAATCATGAAAACTTATTTAAATCGTTGCAAGCTTAGCGTTATTTTTTTCAAACGTGAGTATTTATTATTATTCGACAACATATGTTAAAAATAAGATATATTACTTATACTTATCAAAGATGTTTATTAGTCAAGGCATAAATTGTTGTAAGTATAATTAATACGACCCTTGACCAATAAACATCTCTGATTAATTATATTTGTTTTCAACTAATGATTTTATGTTTTCTACATGATTCCAGGTAAAATAGCTTCATAATTTAAATCAGTTAGAATTTATCTCAATTTTTTAGGATCTATATCCTGCCTTCATGTCTTAAATTGTCTTTCTGTTTAATTATTTACGTACAAATAAAATTCCGATTCATTAAGTGTGAAGTTTCTTTCTTTCGTTAACAAGAGTACTACTCAGCGATTAAATTTGGTAAAATCAGTAATAACTTTTAATGGAATTAAAAATTCTAGTTATTCGTATCGAAAACATTCTAAAATAAAAATCTCGGTTCTTCACATTCTAATGAAAGCAAGGTATTTTCCAGATTTATAAACGATGAGAATTAAATATAAAAATTTCAGTTTAATTATAATCCTGTCAAATGGACATTTAAGAAGGCGCCCTTAAAGTTGGCGAGGACGAAAGTATCCCTACTGCAGTGACGTCACGAACTGCGCGCCGTGGCCTTGAGTTAGTTCTAGGAGGTGTTGACTTAACAGGCAGTAATCTGACGTCACTGTGATGCCACCTGTTCTGATTTCCCGCGTTTAAAATGTAGTTTCATTCAGCTGCGAGACGATTTTCTAGAGGTTACATATCCCAAATTAATTTTAATCATATATATATCTCTTTTCTAATAATGTATATAATGTAATTTTAGTCAGTTTTTATTTTAAATTCTATATTGTAAAGTATCGTTTACGTAACATGGCTTTTTGCGCTGTAGTAACGTGCCGTAGCACTTACAGAAGTACGAAAGGATGAGATATTTTATTTCATGGGACCAAAGGATCCAAATGAGATTCTGCTTTTGACGAAAGAATGGATACATAAATGTCAAAGACAAGATTCTATTAATGTGAAGAGCGGAAAAATCTGCAGCGAACATTTTCTATGCAGTGTTTATGAAGATGATATGAAAAATCGCTTGTTTGGATAGCCACAAAAAGAAACTGTTGAAATGGAATGCTGTGCCGAAAGTAAATTATGATGACAATAATAAATCGAAATTGATGACGATAATAAATCAAATTTTAATGATTTTGAAATAAAACTCACAAATAAAAATGTAGATATTCCTGAATGCCCTAAGTTTAAGGATAAACAAGAATGCATTGATAATTTGAAGAACAAAATAATATCCTTAGAAAATTGTATTAAAGTATTGAAAAATAGGGAAAAGAAAAATTTTAGAACGTTTGTTCAGCGGCAAAGAAGGTGGACGACATCTAGACAGAAATTGGTATCAGAAATTAAAATCTCAAATAGCGAAATTTTGGGGGGAAAGCACAAATCGGAGAATTTGGAAAAATGTCTAAAGCCTATTTTTATAAAGACGCAGATTAATATATTACTGAAAAAGAAGGAAAAAATCAGGTGGACTAGTGAAGATATTTCACGTTGCATTGTCATTAGAGCTCTGTCATCTTAAAGCTATGATTTTTGGAAAGAAAAAAAATTAAGAAAAAAATTGGTATATCTTTACCTAGTATTAGTAAATTAAAGAAATGGTGCGCTAAATTTTAGTGTAGTCCAAGAATTCAAAGTGATGTTCTTACTCTAAAGAAGGAAAGAGGCGAATATTTGTATTCTGTAGAAAAAATATGCGTTCTCAGTTTCGACAAAATGCATGTAGATTGAAAACTCTGCTATGACTCTAAACTGGACCAAGTTCTCTGTTCTTTTCAAAATGTGCAGTTTGTTTTAATCAGAGGTCTCATTTCGCGCTCTGCCTCAAATTACTGAGAAACCACGTTTTAGATAAATGATTTGTTTTAGAAGATGGAACTGTTTCAAAATTTGATATTATTAAAGAGGTTTTAAATAGAGATTGAGAAGAAATCATATTGTGTCACAAACTAAAACCGAATTATTTAATGGTCAAGGGAAACGAGAGACAAAAAGTCGCTCCAGAGAAAACATTATTTTCAAAAAGTACCGCAAAATGTATACTCCACCCCACAGGAAATCAAAAAGCATCTGACTTCTATGAGTTAATCGATAATATCTCTGGTATTATGAATAGTACCAAAATAGTACCAACAAGAATAACAAGTATTTAACAAACTAATTTTGTTAAGTACTTGTTAAAGTTATTCTTATTGTATCCTTTGTAACTAATTATTGATTAAATTTTGTGCTAGATTAGCATTCTAGATAAAATATAATAGTATAAAACATCAAAGTAATTGGCATAAAAAGACCTGCTTCCTTTACTCATACTTTTGAAAAATTAAAAGTACTGTATTAGATACTCTGAGTAAAGCTATTTTGTCAAAATTAAGGTAACAATCTTACATACATTTATTTAATTGTAATATAGATATAAGTATAAATTACAAAATTAACAAAATTATTTAAAAATATCTATTATTTATTGAATCGGAAGAGAATTATAACAATGTAAAATTTACAATTAGGCAAAAAATCAAACGTAGGTTAGCAGAAATGTTGCCATATATGTTTAAAACTATGTCAATGCAAAATTGTTTTTTGAGTAAATTTATTTAGCTGCTATTAGAAGCAGTAAAAAATTCTCTCAGTTAACATGCAGATAAAGAAATTATTAGAAATAAACGTGCATTAAATAAAAAAAAACCACGGAACTTTATGTTCAAAGAGTAGCACATTTTATCTATTATTTTAAAATTGAGTAAGTATTATTAAATTTTTTAATGGTTCAGTCTAAAATGCATAAAGCAGTAACATTGTCTCTTCCAAATTATAGCTATCTTTCACACACAGCTCATTTTAAACGCTGGTTCAAAAACGCTAATTTTCACGCTGTGAATTGCATCTGCGCGCTCAGTGTCATCATGACTACGTCATCACTTCTCACTTTCTGCTTCAGGGGGAAAAGCTCTATGAGCTAGCCCTTCTCTTCTAGGTCCTGGTTAAGGGCACCCCCTTGTGCGGTTTCCTTGCGAACTATCACAAAGTGTCTGCTAAATGACCGGAAGGTAAGCAACAAGGGAAACTCCTAAGGACCCCTCTCTGCGGTTTCCTTGCGACATTAACATAAAAGGAAAAGAAGAGTTTTTATGAGGGAGAATTATGCTTAGAGATGCCGTAGAAGTCGTACAAAAGCGATTGTCTGATCCGCGATGCGGAAGTTTTGTCTGTTATGACTGTACAGTATTGATGTTTTACTTTTTATTAATCCAGAAATCTTTGTTAATTTAAAAAAAAAAAATATTTAAAAGACCACAGGTATGATTATTCCTCCATCTAGGAGGTTCTCACGGTACAGCTATAATATTGGTGGCAGCTGGTGTGGACCGGAAATCCACGGAAAAAGTTTATGGACGTCAGTCCGAATACAGCTCATCTTTAAGCTGTGTTGATCGAAAATCGACGTAAAAAGTTACGGACGTCAATCCGGATAAACAGGGACGTCAGTCTCCCGAATGCAGCTTATCTTTAAACGATGTGGATCGAAAATCCACGAAGAAAGTTTACGGACGTCAGTTCGGATAAAAAGGAACGTCAGTTTTCTAAATTCAGCTCAAGTTGTGGGACAGTCTTGTCCAAGTATTATCAGTATTTTGCAGATATTACAGACCGCCAGATTCTGGTTTTCAGCTCGAGTTTGTGGAACAGTCATTGTCCAACATATCATCAGTATTTTTTTTAAATTTTGTGCGACCGTCTCGTGTTTCAGTTCGTTCAGTTTCGTCGTGTTCACAGCTTGGGATATCAAGCACCTTTATTTTAAAATTTCACCCCAGCCAAAAAAAATAATAAAGTGTTTAATAACACATTTGAATTATAATTTTTTTCTTATTATCATAAAGTCCTTCTACGAGTCACTTTCTTATCTAAACATAAACATATTTTGTATAATATATTATAACTTTGTCCTTTTTTTTCCTTCCCATATAGCTGAATGAAACTTTAATTTGGGAGCACCCACTATATAAAAATAAAGTAGAACAATTAAATACAGCAATTAACACTTCATACCACCAAATACAGTAGTACCTCTCAATAAGGGGCATCCACCGGAACAGACGTTTTGTCCCTTAAATAGAGGTAAATAATGTCACTTATTAAGAGGTAAATACGCGCCTAATTCAAAGGAACTGGGACCAAAAGAACTGTTCCTTAAGTAGAGGTGTCCCTTATAGGAAGTATTACTATACTTTAAAAATGAGGCACCAGTAACTAACTATTAATGACTGAAAGAACATCCTCTTACCTTTTGGAACCCATAAGTAATGGCATTGAGTTTTCAATTTCTACAGATTTTGACTTAGACAATCAATTATGATAAATGTAATATAAAATAAAACGCTGATTGTGGAACACAAATATCTCCATCTACTGCTTATTTGTAGAAGCTTTGTGAAAATAAATAACAACAAATAAAAATAACATTGCTAAAAACAATTTATTTCACGATTTAATGCTCTTGTGATAATTTTCAAGATAATGACATCATTATCCAGGAATATAACAAATGGGAACCACTTTACATAAAATATTAAAAACCTTATTTTCAAAAATAAAACTTTGTAAATTATGCATTACATAACAAACTGTCTACCTCTACTCCTCCAAAAATTATTTTAAAAAAATTCAACACAAATCTTCAAACAATTTTTATTTACAGTCATTCATAAAAGGTATGGCATAATTAAAATAACACTACATTTCTCAACAATAAGAATTAAATGATTTGAAAACAAAATATCACAGCCACTAGTAATTTTATTCAAATTTAAATTGAAAAAAAATAAATGAAACTTGTTTCTAATCAACTTCATCATAATCTATAAGAATTTTTAATGAAAATATATTTGCTACAATACTGCACTTCTTATTCATATTACACATGCACATAAACTAGAAAATAAATATGATGCATGCAATAACTAATTTTATACTATTTTTTGATTTTTAAAAGATTACTTGCAGCCCAATAACATATTATGAGCATTTTAATTGTAACTAACTCAGACAGAATCCATTGTTACAACAAAATAAAAAAATCACAGAAAACCTCTAATCACAGCAAATATTAATAAACTATAATAAAACTTAAAAAGACAATCTTTTTTATGACATTATCACAGATTACAAAAGATAATGGACTGGAAACAATGAGAAAATGCTTATTCAACTGTTCTTAGATATTTTCTGTGAAGTATGAGCAATTCAAACATCTACATACTTTATCTAACTGACCATCTTTACAGGCTGAGGATGCAAATTCCACATACAACAATAATACCATAGCACAATGCATCACAAAACACATTCTTAATGTGAATTATAAAATAAACTCTAATGAATTAGTTTATAATTTTATTTTTATTTAAGGATACATAATATGTTATCACATTTCCATCCATTCATTAAGTAGACTAGAATTTAACCCCCTGACACATAATGATCTGAGATGCATTATTTATTATTAACGAGATGCATTATTTATTATTGAGATGCATTATTTATTATTAACGTCAGAGCAGATTTGGATGTGAGCCAGACATCATGAAACTGCATTAACTTCAAAATAGTTTCTGACTATAAACTGTGCAATTATACACTTGAATAAATAAATATATACTTTGGTCCCCCCTTTGCAATGAAAAATTTTGTCCCTTCAAATTTTAAGCATATTAATTTTGCATTTAATTCATATACTAAGGGGTTAATATAACACAAGACAAATAATAACATTATTTCATTTAAAAATACAGAAATTTTCAAAGATGTTATTAAAATATTTTCAGCACAAAGTATTAAAAAGGCAAAGAAAAATATTCACACCCTGCCTAATAATAAAAGGATATGAACAGATAAAACACATATTACTAAATAATAATTACTACACCTGCAAGAATGACTTGAAAAATCTCAACATAAATCTGATACATGCACTTTGCACAAATGAATGAAACAGTATTTCTAATCACTTAATATAGTTTTTTTTTTTTTTTTTTTCATAGTACACAAAATTTGTTCCTACTAATCTGCAGTGATAAATTTTAAACTACACATTGTAAAACTAGGTTAAAAAATCATTTGAAGAGACACTCTGTAGACTTTAACATTTATGACTTATGATTGGGACTTTTCAATCAGATGTTAAAACACTGCTCATTTGAAAGTTTAATTTTAGGGATTAATTAAGAATCATTAAATATTATACCAGATTTTAATAAATAGTACAAATCCTTTACTTGCAGTTATTGAAATAAAAATATGGGTCATTACAATCATAGAAATGTGTTAAAGAAGCAGCAAAGTTACACTCAATAAGGGGAAAAAATTATTATTTAAAATCATTTTTAGTGAATCCAGTTTCAAACCTGAAGCTAGATCACAGACTAAATAACCATAAGAAACCTGAGCTAGTTTTGAATAATATAGAAGCTAAAATAATTCTAAAATAATTTTATTTTATGGTTAACAGGATACAGAATAAAATTTTGAAGTCTACTGAAATCTTGGTAAAGCAACTACTGTCATCCCACCTGAACTGCATGATAAAATCATAAAAGCTAAGCATTATTCACATATCAAGATTTAATCTTTTAATGAAATATAAATTTAAGCAAATTATGCACCTTGTTTGATTTTATCCTCTAATACAACTCTTTACATATTTACACTAACAAATAGACAAGTTAGAATTATTTTATTATTTATTGCATTATTTAACATGCACCGATTGACTGAATAATTAATTACATTAAGTGAAATTTTCCTAAAAATTTCCAGTAACTATATTAGTGAATCCAGTTTCAAACCTGAAGCTAGATCACAGACTAAATAACCATAAGAAACCTGAGCTAGTTTTGAATAATATAGAAGCTAAAATAATTCTAAAATAATTTTATTTTATGGTTAACAGGATACAGAATAAAATTTTGAATTCTACTGAAATCTTGGTAAAGCAACTACTGTCATCCCACCTGAACTGCATGATAAAATCATAAAAGCTAAGCATTATTCACATATCAAGATTTAATCTTTTAATGAAATATAAATTTAAGCAAATTATGCACCTTGTTTGATTTTATCCTCTAATACAACTCTTTACATATTTACACTAACAAATAGACAAGTTAGAATTATTTTATTATTTATTGCATTATTTAACATGCACCGATTGACTGAATAATTAATTACATTAAGTGAAATTTTTCTGAAAAAATTCAAGATAAAAATTGCAAAATGATTACATTAAAAATACAAATATCCTAACATATTCAGATTTTCAATTGGATACAAAATTATGATAAGGTATGTGGTGGCATTGTTTGCAATACTAAAATGCCTTTCATCAAACTCTTCGCGTTGCGATTTTCTTTTTGTTCAAGTGGTGACAGTAAAAAAGAGTTTGGAATAAAAAAATAAACATTAGAATTTGTTTAAAAAAAATAAACTCATTATCATCTGTTTTACTCCTGTTCCCTTTTTAATAAATTTATATAAAAAACTCTGTCCCTCTACAGTATATTGCCAGTACATTTGTCCTTAAACAATGAACGTATAATTTGGTGACCATGTTCGTGATTGATTGATTGCAAGTAAATGTCTGCACACAAGAATGGTGATACAGCATTGGAAAAATTAACAATTGCCAGGGTAAGTCAAAAATTTTTTCAATTTTGGAAATCTGACCCAAAAATATGGCTTTTTCAGATCTGAGCACAGTTCTACAACACTGGAATGACAATTGGTGAAACAAAATATGACTATGCAGTCGGTTCAATACAAACAGGGACATTGTCACAAGTTCGTGATATCCTTGGCACACCACTACATGATGACAAATATCTGGCCATTAAAAAGAGACTTCCTGAAAATTTTGTCAATTCAGAATCACAGAAAATTCAGAAACTTCTGACTGAATTGGTATTAGGTGACAGGAAATTATCCCAACTTCTTTGCAAAGTATGCAACTTGGCAACAGAGCAGGTGCCAGACAAATAAACTACCACTTAATATGTGCTGCATTTTGTCAGTAAGCAGTGATGATTTGTCCAAATTATCAGCAATGGCTGACAAGATATGGGAATCAAATCCCAATCCAACTTGGGTAGCTCACATTGTTTCTCCACAATCTGATAACAATATTGCACAAGATTTACAAGAAACTTGGCACTGCAAATAGCAGAAATGCATAGACATAGAAATTCCAGTCCACAAAGATGAAGATAAAGACTGAAATCAAGAAATGGTTGCATAAATAACAGTGGCCCAAATAATAGTTATTTTCACCAAAGCTTTGGCAAAAGAACTTACAAGCACACACCATCATGCAAATATCAGGGTTTGAAATAGAAAGACTGACCTCCCAGCTTTCGATGACAATCGAAAGTCTCGGAGGTCGAGCTGAGTTGTTTATATATATATGATACAACACAAAACACATTTTTATCGACACTGGAGTAGAAATATCAGTTGTCCTACCACTGCCATTGGAAAAAAAGAACTGTAAGCTTGGGCTGTTTCCAGCTAATGGTCAATAATCAAGCACATGGTCAATAACTGTTAAAGCTGGATTTGTTGCTATGCTGATCTTTCAGCTGGCCTTATATAATTGTACATATCAATAAACCTATTGTTGGAATAGACTTCCTTTCACATTTTAACTTATTAGTCAACAGTAAAAATACGAAATTAATTGATGCTACCACCTAATCGACAACTAATGGTACTTTATATAACAATGACATCACCCTAACAACAGATCCATCTGGTTCTGCCAGTGGCGATGTGATCCATCAATCATATAATGGTGAAAAACAACAGCTAATCTTTTTCTTTCAATCCCTATCATCAATGGAGAGAAACTATAGAACTTAGGACCGAGAATTACTTGCAATCTACCTAGCTATAACGCATTTAAAACACATTCTAGAAGGACGATCTTTTACTATCTTCACTGAGCATAAACCTATCACATCTGCCTTCCAGCAGAATTTAGATAAAGCCTTTTCAAGACAAGTCGGGCAACTGAACTACATTGCTTAATTCACTATAGACATACGGTACATTTCTGGAGTAGAAAACATGGTAGCAGACACACTATTGAGGATTATTTAAGATTGCCAGGAGGATGGACACCTGAATATTCTTTAATCAAATTCCAGTTTCAAAACAGAACAAATTTCTATCCCAGATAGAAAAAAGAAAATTTACTGTGATACCTCCACCAATTTTAACTGGCCATACATTCCTAAAAAATTCCAAAAAAGAATATTTTTTTCTATACATTACTTATCCCAGCCGGGAATTCGTGTAACAAAGAAGCTGGCAACAAAAAACATTTCATTTGGCTTGGCATAAACAAAAACTGTTAGCTGTGGATTAAAGCATGCCAAAGACCCAAAGTTCAAAACATACCCATGCTCCATCTAGTGAATCCAAAGTTCCAAATGAATGCTTCAAGCACCTTAAGATTGATATTGTTGGCAATTTACCATCTTGCAAAGATTTCTGTTATCTGCTTTTTATCATCGAGAGATTCATTTGGTGGATCAAAGATGCTCCTTTGGGAGACTAAACTGAAAACTCCATCGCAAATGCTCTTGTCGGGACTTGGATTCCCATACATGGAATCCCAAAAAAATACACCTAACCAAGGTCGACACTTTGAAGCCAACTCTTCAAATCCTTGAACAAATACCTAGGTTTCAAAGCCAACACAACCACAGCTTATAACCTACAATCTAATGGTTTAATCGAACGCCAACATCGAACTCTGAAACACAGCCTGAAATCCCACCTTCAAATATCAAAATTCTTGGACTGATGTTCTACCTTTATTTCTTCTTGGCATTCAATCCACTATTAAAGAAGATCTATTTTGTTGTTCTGCTAAACTTGTGTACAGCACACCAATCTGTCTGCCTGCAGAATTCTTCAGTAAATTCTGAACTGCTAAGCATTCAGATTTTATACAAAACTTGCAAAGACACATCCAAAATTTAAAACCAATTCCAACAATCAGCCATAGGAAAAAAAAAAAAAAAAAAAAAACAGCTTTTATAAACTAGGACTTAGCAAATTGTTCACATGTATTAATCTTTAAACATAATTTCATCCTCTCTTCAAACGACATATCTTCGAACTAATTTAATTAAGAAACATTCTGAAAAATTTTGTGATAGTTTCTCAGAGAATATTAATAGATAGCTTGAAACCATGTTTCAAACTCAAAAATGAAGTAACAGCAAGTCTTCAGACATGATAAGCCGATAACCCCTAAATCTTACAACCAACCCCTTCCTAGTAGCAATGATCCTTTTAAAGACACTGACCCTAGAAACACAAGAACCGGTCGAAGAGTGAGATGTCCTGCATATCTGAAAGACTATGAGGGATAACGCTTTTTCTGGAAAAAGGGTGATGGAGACCTCATTTGCAATACTGAAACACCTTTCGGGACACTCTTCACGCTGCAATTTTATTTTTGCTCAAGCAGTAGCAGTAAAAAACAGTTTGGAATAAAAAATAAACATTATTTTTTTTTCCAAAAAAGAAACTCGTTATCATTTGTTTTACTCCTGTTTTCTCATTAGTAAATTTATTTAAGAAAGTTTGTTTCTCTACAGTATACCGTTAATACATTTGTTCTTAATCAATGAACCTATAAGGAACATAATTTTATTCATATGCCAAGAAATTTTGGATAGTAAGAAAATTTTAGTTGTTTGCCAAAAGTTAAAAATGATTATCAAAAAACATATAAAATGCAATAACTATAAAAATTGCAAAAATTTTATAGCTTTTTTATTAAAGTTGACAATTAAAAAACAGCCTTAAAACAAGTTTGTTTCATACTATACTAATTGTTTTATAAAAGAATTTTAACACATTACTCATTCATGTTTCACTAAAATAGTTTTCATGCAAAATTTTATTTACAAAATTTTTCATTTGCATTAAAAATGGAAGAGCACCTCAGATCTTTTAACCCTCTGAGTGGCAGGATTTTTTTAATCTAATTATGAAGGACTGTATTGTAACCCTATTTAATAATTTATATAATTACTTATTTTACTGTCTGTTTTCATAAACTTTTATTCATTAAGATATTTAAATTATGAAAAAAAGTAAGAAAGCAAAATATTTTTAAATTATAAACTCATATATACCTACAGACAAAAAAACTCATGACCAGATAGAGGCAGTCATGCCACACAGGGGAATATATATATAAATTGTAAATGCTCACTGAAAAAATATGAGATTCCTTTCTACTTTAAGCTCATTATCTATTTCTACAACTATTTAGAACACTGACACTTTATTCTTCAACTTAAACATTTTATTTATTACGATTAAAATATAGATATATATATTATTATAATTAAGTAAATCAAAGACCATGTTTATAAATAAAATATTGTTTTTCTATGCAACAAGAATGAGGAAAATTTATTTTTTATAATAATACAGTATTATGCAGCTAAGCCTGAAAAATGAGAAATCATAATCTTAGTGAAAAAAAAAATCCATACGATATTTTCGGAGTATAAGTAAGAAGTAGCGTATGTGGGAAGTGCTTGGAAGCGTGATGTACTCCTTTTCGGAGTCTATTAAGTAAGGTTACATTTATTCATTTATTGTGCAGTTTAATTTCTGTAAATAAAATTCAGAAAGAGCTATCTGGAAATCTTATCTATATGGTAACTGTAATGCATTCAAAATGGATTGGAACAGTGAAACCGGGCAAGGGCCAGAGCAATTGTTCAGTCCTCCCTGGCCGCCAGAATTATTTCTAAAAACATGCCATGAAATCGGCATTAAAAATTATGTAATTTTTATAAGTGGTAAAGAAAAAAAATTGAATGTGAATAACCCAAAAAACTTAAAAGATGAAATCGAAAAAAAAGTATTGTTGGTGAAACATATTGATTTTATTAAGTGCATAAGAGATGGCAGACTTTTAATTTGCATGGCATCAGCTGAATGTGCTTGGCAAGTACAAAGTTTGTCAGAGATATTGAATATCAAAGCCTCTACAACAAACAAGGTCTTGTTAAATCATACAACAGTGAATGATTTAACAAGTAAATTTCTTCTGCCTGATATACCGGAAGATGTTGAATTATCTGAGCTGTAATAATGATATAGATGTAATTAGCTTAAGAAGATTTATGATAAAAGGGTCTGATAAAAACAGAAGGCTCTCCGAGAAGGTACCAGTCACAGTTATCAGACACAACATCCCAGAACTCATAAAAGTACGGTTGACCAGGCAGAGTAACAAGGTTTTATGGTAATCTGAGACAGTGCTCACAGCGTCTGAAATTCGGACATTCAATAAAAAGTCGAAATTAAATGTAATAGATGTGGTGACAACCACAAAAGAGAGCAATGTCAAAGCCAGTTAATAAAGTGTGGTTTATGCAATAATAAACACAAAGCTACCTCAAAGGATTGCCCGAAGTATAAAGGAGAGAGCAAAATTCTCAACTATAGCGCAGACTACCCCATCCCCATAGCAGAAGCAAGAAGAATGAATGGAATTTTTGTATGTCGCCAGAGAAAAGCAAATCTATCTTCTTCAGAGGAAAGAAAGGTAGAGAAACGGGTATTTTGAAGCTAAATGGTATCAGTATCCCAATGGTAAACGAGCTCAAAATTTTAGGATTGTGGTTTGATAAGTTGAGCTGGAATACTATACAATAAATAAAATCATCCCAAAATTGGAAAGGATGTTAAACGCGTTTAAGTTTGTCGCCAACCCAAAGTGGGAAATGAGGAAAACTGATCCAATCAGAATCGCAAATGCTACCATAAGAGGAAGGATTGAATACGATAGCTCCCTTCTCATGTCTACTTTGCAAACGAATATAAAAAAAAAAACTAAGCACACTCTATAATCATGCTTTAAGACTTGCCATGGGGGAACCAATCAGCACCCCTTTACCTCGAAGCGGGTGAATTCACACTACAAATTAGGATGCGGATAGCTGCTACAAAATTCCCAATTAAAAATATTGCTCTCTTCAAAATATCTCCGACTATGACTAATTTGCAAACGTGCCTACAAAGTTGCAAATATAAGTGAGGCAGATTGCGGAAGCCCCTCAGCCAGAATATCAAAGATGAGCTCATCAAATCTGACTTGGATACTAACAATATTATCAGTTTCATGAATGAGCAAGACTTTTCTGAAGAAGTTAATTTCAGAATAAAAACAAACGAGTATGAGTTTCAAAGAAAGCATATTCCAGACAGGGAGATGCAACAGTGTTTAAGCCTTGTAATAGATGATTATATTAAGAAAGCATACAAAGTTTTTGAAACAGATGCTTCCAAGTCCAATGCTGGAGTTGGAAATGCAGTAGTAGGCAGAGATGCTGCGATTTTTAATTAGCGTATCAATACCAGGAGCTCTATTTTTTCTGCCGAGGCCTGGGCTCTCTGGAAGCTTTTGGATAAACTGAATACAAGCGATAAAGTCATTATCCTCATAGATAGCATGTCAGTAGCTAAAGCTATTGACAGTGTTCATAGGAAGTCAAATTCTCTCATCCTAAAGTTGTATGGTTTGATGAAAGCTTTTCACTCTCTTGATATTGTCTGGGTTCCAGGCCATAGAGGAGTAGAATATGACTGAACGAATATGCTGATAAGCTAGAAAGTGGGGAAATTGCCCAAAAGGTAAACAATCTCTCAGCAGAAGATGCAAGTAGCTTCCTCACTAGGGCCATCAATGCTGAATATGTCAATAGCTGGCTTACCTCCTATATAGGGCACAGGTTCAGCTACTGTAATGTTTATAAAGAGTGGAGCAAAGGACTAAACATTAGTAGAACAATGGAAGTCACAATTAGTAAAGCAAGACTGCAGATGCTAAATACGAAACAACTCCGATACAGATATCGAAGATCCGACTCTCCTTATTGTGATAAGTGACTGATCGACAGCACGGAACATGTAATTATTCATTGTAAGAAATATGAGGAAGCCAGAGGTAAAATGTTACGGAAAATGAAACTGGGGAATATAAACCTAATGGCCGATTTGATTGCCTACTGCAATAAGAATCCCTGGCGATACCAAATTTTAGGGAACTTTATCACCAAATGCATTCAGAACTCTTAAATACTTTTACAGGACTGACATGCTCTCTGGAGTGGAGGAAATGCGTCCATAATTAAATAAAAAAAAAAAAAGAAAGTTCGTTGTGCATGCATAGGAGCACAAGGCACCGAAGGGAAGCCAAGCTTCACAAAGTAGAAGAAGTAAGAAGTAAGAAATCATAATTTTTTTAAGACAAATATTCGCAATTAGAATATTCAGTTTGTTGCTAACATGTCTATCAGTAATAAAATATTGTGAAATACTTAGAATATATACCTTTCAAAATAAAAAGTTAATCTGCTTCAGAAGCTTTCTAAATCTTTCTGCAGCCGTCCTTTAATAATCTTATTTTTTATAGCAAATGCAATTTTACTTGGTAAATTAGGTCTATGTTACATTGGTGCTTCTACAAGAGCAATGAAATAGCTTACATCAGGAAATTAGCTTACTAAAATATATTTAATATGCGTAATGTATGCGCATTCTCTATGCGAATGCTTAAAGTTTGTGGCTTTGAGGTCCAGATTATAGATCATTCCAGATAATGGACGTGCGGATTACAGACTTTGTACTGTATATGAATCTACTCATCTAATCTGCATAACAGTCAAAATATTAGCTGCTAATATTTATAGTTAATCCCCCCCAAAAAAAACTAAATATGGAGTTTTGGATCGCCAATAACTGATAAACTACCAATGATGAACTTTCCAATGAGCTTGATCACCAACAGCAAACTTTACGATGAAATTAAAAATTTCACGAAATCTCTAAGCATTTGCAGATTTTTCTGTATTGCTTTATTTCCAATCATTTTAAATAAAAGAACGGGGATTATATTCCTTTTGTCATTTTGCAGGGTTTCCAATGAATTCGACTTTTAATTCTGACTTTTCAAAATCAAATTAAATCATCTTTTTAGAAAAACAATGGTGAACTAAGTTAACCAAAAGAATAATTCTATGCAAAAAAATAATGAAATGAGTTAAGAACAATATAAAAGTCTAATTATCTTACTCATAGTAAGAAAACTAAATAGGGTTTAACACGTTCCTACAGATATATAAATGGGCATGTGCTTTCCACAGACCAAAACTATACTTTAGTCTAGTAATACCTAAAACTAATTCTAATAAGAATTTAGGGTTATTTCAATCCACAATTATATCTTTGATATTACTTTAATAGAAAGTCAGAACTTGAGACCACATGTCACAGCTTCTTACAAACCACTACTTAATGATGTTTCTATGGAATTATCCACAAAATTACAAAGGGATCACGCCTTTAACACCATTCCGCATATGAGTTGGTCTGTTTGAGGAACAGACAATCGGTTAGGAACATGCTAAAAAATTCTTCAATCAGCAAACAAAATTAATGAATAATTCATAATAAAAACTATTCCTAAGGTATTTCAAAATAAAACTGAATAATAAAGAAATTAACTAGTTTGAAAATGTATTTAATCATGTAATTATTGTGGTTATTTATTATGACATACAATAACACAATATAGTAACCTCTGACTTGTGTTGCACTGAAATCTTCATTTTCGAACTTAATTTGTTCCTGGAGATAGTTTGTCACCCAAAATATTCATAAACTGAAACAATTTTCATGCAGGAATTAATGTATAATGAATTAGTCTGGCACCAAAAGCCTAATGCTTCCTTAGAAAAGAAAACTTTGAATGCAAGTTTGTTATGTGAAACTAATGAAATTCATTAACTCTAGCATTTACACAATGTTTAACATATTTAAAAAAAAAAAACAGGCAAACTTGCATTAAATTTTACCATATCTCTACAAACGAAAGTTGACAGTTAAGTAAGAAACAATGAAGAAGCCAAAGCGCAAAATGTTAGAAAGGGTACCTTTTTCTGCAAAAATATCAGATAGCTGCTGCCCTTCAAAAGTTTTCTCCCCCCCTCTCTTCTCTTAACACAATTTTCTACTTGAGCATTAATGGGCCGTTTTCCTATTACAAATTGGTTCAATGTGATTTGTTTCCATCTACATTTTAAAATGTAAGGCATGGCATTGTCATTGCAAACATTTATGCTACGACTTACTACTACTTTATCAGGGTGATAATCTCCTATGAGCCTTTGCATCTTACACCATTTTGCACAAATTTTGCAGAACAAATAACTAAAACATTCTCCTCTCTGCCTTCTTCTCAAGACTACTGCACTAACTATGTTTTGGAATATCATTTGTTGCCAATATACATATCTCGAGATATCACTTGCCATCCAAGACATTTTTCATTTGCAAAATTTGAGCCATGCAAAATTCATGAGCTCAATCTGTTCATGATCCAAGGTTTCACTGTATTTATTCTAGGAAAAAATTTTGGGTAAAGTGCAGAATAGCCCACTTATTTGTTTGCCGCTTTTTACAAGAGTAAGAATTGGTTTTTTGTCAATTTCCTTTGACTTTTTAAGTGAAAATAGGTCAATGTGTACATAGATAACGATTACATGCAATTCTTAAAAACACACCAAGCAGTGGGTGATTCTGCATTTTCCCCAAAATTTGAGAAGTTTGTGCTAGCAAGAAAAGTTAATTCAATTTCAGGATAGTCATATAATGTCAGTTTTTCTTTTCATTATGATAATTTTTGTCTTGATACCCCATTTTTCTAAAAGCATTTTTAGAAATTTCCACATACTTTTTTTAATAATATTTCTACTTTTTCATTTTTTATTTTCTTACAAGTACAACAAGTTTTTTTTTTTTTTTCAAAATAAATTATGTACCACTGTCATGAAGTTTTAAGGAATGATGCCTTTTTATTAATTACAATATTAGGTACATCTGCTTCTACCTCCTCCAGCTATTTCATTATACGCTACTCTACAAACAATATTTTTTCTCACTTGCTTTCTTTTTAAAAGGGTTAACTTATGTTTTAATGATAACTATTTAAAACATGAACTCTTCATTATCTGGAAGAATGATCTGTATGTTCTGCCTCCAATTTTAGGAGGATTCAAATTTTGCCTGATTTTCCCTTATTTCACTCCCTGACTTTGGAAGTTATTTCAGGAGTAGAAATTCTGTTTTGATAAAGTATTTCATACAACTTAATATAAGAATCATTAAATAATTAAGCATTTCACAAAAACATTCTAGGTAAGTCAGTACAGTTTTCAGAATGTTAATGATTTTGCACCTCAAAGTTTTATGCCTTAAATAATCATATTCTAAACTATTTATAATAAATAATAAAATGGATCAACAGAGGTCAACTCACAAAAACCTTATTTAAAATAAAACTCTCAGCTTTTTAAACATTAAGTCTATCAGAAAGAGATTAGAAAAACCTTGTGGAAAAATTTGAATTATTTTAAACATGTCTGAAAATACACTATAATTAATTCAGTTTGGAACTTATTTTTCAAAAATAACTTACATGTCTAACAATATTTTTTATTATTCAAGTCAAGAAGTGACCATCTAATTGGAAGGAATTCAAATCAATTCTTATTACTCAAATCAAGAAGTGACCTTCTAATTGGTCTTTTAATATTGGAAGGAAGTCATTCAACAGCTACAACATATAAAATATATGAAAGACAGCAGCATGTTTATAACATAGCATAATAATATAAATAAATAGATATAAATGAGCATACAAATAAATTTACTCAGATAAATGAATATGTAATAAATTTACTTAAATAATTAACTTTTCTTGAATGCAGACTAGCCTTTTAAAATTAACTTTTCTCTCCAACATAAACTACAGAAAACAATTTATTATAACATAATAATTAATTATACATCTTCTACACCACAAGCTTTATTTAATCTAAAAAACAGATCTTCTAAAATGATTCATTTTTAAAATTTCTTTCATGTATGAATGAGATAATTCATAAATTTTTTATGAGGAAAAATTAAATAGTCTCAAATATATTAAAGCAAAAAATACGGCATTCTAAAGAATCAAAATAAAATCTTAACATTTACAAAACAATCTAGCAACAGATGTTATACATTTACTTTATACATACATACATATATCACACACAAGGATACATATACATATGGTGCGTGTGTGTAGTTACAAGTAAATACACAGGAAAAATATCTAAAAAAACAAAATATATCACCTTTTAAGAAATTTCACTATGAACAGCCTATCCCAAACATCTAAAAATATACATTTCTAGGTGAATAAACCTAGAAATGAAATGAACAGAATATTGTTTTCATTGGAATATCTCTCACAAAAAAAGAATTACATGCTTAAGCCACAGGTAAAAGAAAGTACACAAATTTAATTACTTACTAAGGGGTCGACGTGGCCATGATCGAAATTTTAATAAGTTATTTGCATTAGTTCGAATTTTTTCAATTAAAACCATTAAAGGTTTCACATATGTCATTAGCCATTCGTCAATTGTGTGCTTATCATAAACTTCAGGCATTGTGTTTTGTATAAATGTGTGTAATAAAGTAGCATTTGTGGAAAGTGCTTCCAGGTTTTGAGTTCCAAGTTCAACATGAGCAGGACTTGAAAATAACATCTGGACATTGTATTCACTCATCCAGCCAACAAAGTGGCTATTTGATAGAAAGTTCTGCAGCATGAAGTTCAAATGAGCAAGTCTTTGAGCACCTTTAAAAACATTACTTCCTGGATAATTACATAATGCTTCTTCCGTACTGAAATTAGTATAGAGTGTTAATCTTGAGTCACACATCAAAATGTCTCTGGCCTTTTGAAAAAGATTATTATCCACAACTTGTTTCTCCAGGTACAACAAATTGATAGCAAGAGATGGAATTGCTACTGGTAAAAGTTCACACAAAACAGCAAAATGGTCATAGCGCTGCCAACCAGTTAATACAAAACCACGAAAAAAAACTTCATTTTGATATTTAGATAAAACATTAAGCCAAGAAATATGATTTTCCAGATGATATGAAATATTCGTTAAATACTGATTAGCTCCAGTGGCCCCTTTATAAGCACTAGCAACCCACACACCAGAGAAATATTTTCCATACTTTATCCAAGCATCGGGCTGAATTTTGTTTTCAACATATGGTCCATACTGCCAAGCCATTATTTCAACATACTTCCATATTTCAGATTTTTTTATTGTTTCATCAGGAACCATACGAAACATATCATCCCACATTATAGGTTGTATTTTATACTTCTCTTTTATGTACTTGGCAACATTTTTAACATGATAAATGAAAAGATCTTCTTTATCCATAAAATGTTTTCTCATTTTTTTCTGGCACAGATTACATTCTCCTATGTAATATACTTCATCTGATCCAATATGCAACCATTTTATTTGTGGATGTAATGCTACTATTTGATCAATGATTTGTTGAAGAAGCACCTGAGTTCCATTGTTGGAAGGGCAAATAACTTGTGGATATGCGGGTACTTCACGAAGATCCTGGTAAGTTTGAAGTTTCAACACAAATTCCATGTGCCCAAAAGTTTGTACTAAAGGCATGACCTCTAATTCATTCATCTTTGCAAGATACAGTATCTCAGTGAGTTCATTTTTTGTATATGCATTACGAGCAGAAAGCTGTTCCAAAGGGCCATGAAATGGGAACATATCTTCATATTCAATAAGAATGCCAGTTGCACCAAGTGCATGAAGTAGAGGAAACAATTTTTTATAATAATTTATTATAGGAGGAGCTCCTTTAAGATCTAAATGAACAAACTTTTTGTCTATGTTTATTAATTCTTCTGGTTTAGGTGTTCTTATACCTTTACTCACACGTTCATTTACTGAGCGTGCAGGGTGATCTATTTCAACATCATCCCTACTCATCTCATCAAGTGTATTGAATTGCTTTGATGAACCAGATCTCGATGCAGAGTTTTGATGAATACTAGCATGAACCTGAGCTTCCTTTAATCGCTGCCTTTCCAAATGCTTCAAAGATTGTGTTACAGGAAGCAAATCATTTATATTTACCAAAGGGCCAGTTCGAAAAGGCAGTTTCTTATACGAGCCATCAGGATCTACATGGACAAAATTTGCATGAGATTCAGAATCATGGTCTTCAGTAGCTAATGTTTTATACAAAATAAGGAATATTATTCCACTGCTTGCTATAAGAATGAGATAAAATCGAAATTTGGAATGCATTTTGCAGGACTGGAACATGCTAGCTGGCCACCACCTACCAAAATAATATGGAATTAATATTGACAATACTAAAAAATTCTAGAAACTTAAAAAGTTTCAAAAATACACAGAAATAAAACTATTCAATTAATTTTTACTTAAAAGAAATATGTTGGTGTCTAAAATCAAAGTTATAAACATTTTTGCAATAATTCAAAACACTTACTACCAAGCCACTAATACTTAGAAAATTAGTATCATATACAATCTGGGAAATGGTAAATCTAGTGATCTATGAGGCCACTAGATTAAGTAAGCATCTAGTGGTCACCCAGATTGTAAGTAAGCATCTAGTTCTCTTTAAAATGTTATGAAGAAATGTGTCTCAAGAAAACATGAAAATGATTGGTTTTCAATCATGTGACCATTCTTCTATGAAAAAAAAATCAGAAGACTCAATGATTTCAGTTAAAATGAATTCCTTAATCATTTAGAAGATGAAATAAGATAGAGAGCAATCACAAAGCTTCAGTCTCAAGCAGCAGTCATTTGATGTTTATAAGCATTTTGAATTGTCATGCGCAGACTTTGACACCAATTATGAACAATGGATTCCATCACCAGCAACCTAGGCCAAGGTCATCTCAGAATTATGACAGCTGCAGAGAAGTGATATGTGGCATTAAAGCATGATGTCTAAAATGCTCTCTCAGGACCTCACTGCTGTATCTGGAATTTCAGGCGAATTGTATGCAGAGGTCCGGCACAACAGATTGCAGAAAAGAGCCTGTCTTTTGTGCAGACAGGTATAGTCCTGGCATAGTCAGACTGGGACTATATCCTCTTCAGTGATAAACTGAAGTTCAGTACACAGAGTAGTACTTCATGAGTCTTCATATGGAGAAAGCCTGAGGTCACTACCATCTCTCCAACACAGTGAAAAACTTCTTTTAAAATGACAATCAAATCTTTAAGGTAACCACAGCCATATACCAGTATGGAACTTAAAGACTGGATTAGTCATTATTTGATCCAATCTGGATGAAAAATGTGTTATAATAAAGCATACTAAACAAGAAGGAATACAGCATTTAAAGGAAAGGAATTTTTTACCTAACCAAAAAAAAAAAAAAAAAAAAAAAAAAAAAAAAAAAAAAAAAAAAAAAAAAAAAAAAAAAATAATGATAGGTCAGTCTGATCATAATAAAGATGTATTTTAAGAACAGGAATAATTGAGAAATATACCTTATTCAGAAGAGAATTCAGCCATTTTCAAGGAAAAGGAATCTTTGTGTACGCGGCACACTGGATGGTTGCAAATTTCTATATGTCTTCGATGTGGGCATTGTTTGAGTGCACAGTGCTTAGAGAAAAGGTTCTTGAGCCACATGTGAAGTTTTTTCAAGAAAGATGTGCGAGAGGTTTGTCTGTTTTGTTTTGTTTGCTTAATTATGACAAAGCATAAAAGGGCTATCTGCCTAAGGCGAGGGATGCCTTCACAGAGGACTTTCTAAGGTAAACTTGCTCATACACACTCTGCACATGGGGAAAACCAAAAAAGACACGTTCACCAGGATTTGAACCCAAGACCGAGCTATCAGTGTTCAGTGACTTTACCACTCAGCCACTTGTGGGCCGATGCACGAGAGGACTTTATGGATGATAACATTAGACAAATCAGAGCTCAAATAGTTGAAGATTTTTTGAAGTATTTGCTACTGATGTTGCCAGAACTAAATTCCATACGAGTATATATGAGATGTTCTAGAAAGAACCACTACATGATGTAAACATACTTGCCAACCTATGACACTCAAAAATCAGGAGATTTTTTCACAATGTTAAAAAGACTTTTTAAATGATGAAAATATAGTTTTTAATAATGAATTAACTTTAAATAGTAACTAATTCTTAAATGCAAGCAACACAAAAATAAATACACATCAAAAACTTACACATCAAAAAATTTTTATTACTTGCATTGTTTAAGAAAACAAAAAAAAAACAAAAGCACTTTAATTAGTTTTCATACAAATGTTATAAACAGTGGCAGATTTTGCTTTCTTTAAGAAAGAAACTTCATAATTTTGTTCATAGCAAATGCCACGTAGGCCAGCTTTCACTAATAAAAGTTTTTCTAATGTGTCATCACTAATATTAGATCTAAATTTAGTCCTCATTTTCGCAACAACACTGAAAATCCTCTCACACTCTGCATTACTATGGGGAATTGTCAAGATGGCCAACATAATTCTAGACAGTTCACTATATTTTAAAATTCCATCAGCATCTTTCAGTTTTCCAATTAGACTCCAGTGGGTGTCAATCCTAGCTGATTTTATAACTTCATCCAAGTTTTCTAATTGTAAACTGCTGTTATGCAGCTGTTGGAACTGTTTCAATTTTTCCTTCCTTTTAGAACTCCTTTCAAGATAATAATAATATCAACAATGTGTTCATCCATCTTTATTGGTAAAGAAACTGCCCCCTTTTCAGCTGCTAAATTTAAGAGGTGACAGGTGCACCTCATAATCTGAAAATCTGAATTTTCCTTTCTTAAGATACCTGCAACACCAGTCTTCAAGCTTACCAATACTGGTGCATTATCAGCACCAAGTCCTAAGCAATTATCCAGAGGGACTGCATTTTCTTTTAAAGTTTTAATTAATTAGCTGTGCTATATTAAAGCCTGTCAAATGTCCTTCTAAGGTGGGGACAGAAAGTAAACTGCACTGAATTTCTGAAGACTCTAGATTAAAAAAAGAAACAACAATTGGATACAGTTTTGAATCGGTATTATTGCTTCCATCCGTAGAAAGGCAGAACGGAGCTGCAATCAATAACTGAAGATTTGAATAACTTTTCAAATCCATTTCTTTAACAATTGCACCTGTTTTGGTTCTTGCACTTGAGTATTTCTTAGCGATTCACTATCAGGAAACATTTTTCTAAATAAAGCTGCAGCGTGATCCGATGCATTCAGTGGCAGATTGTGCTCCAGCAAAAAGGCAAATAACAGACATTCTGCATTAATAACTTTTTGGTCCTTTGTTTCCGAAGAAAATTTTAATTTTTCGTTTTTTTCAAAACAACTCATGTTGTCCTTGTGTTTTTGTGTATGCACATGTTTGAGAACATCCGCCTCTCCACCATGCGAAATCAAAAAATCGCAACAACAGACGGTACACATCACAAATCTATTACATCTCCTTGAGGAAATAATGGAAGGAAAGTCAACTGTGTACGATTTTTGAAACATACATGAGTATTTCACCTTTCTCAAAGACATAACAAAACATGATAATTTCTAAAGCTATTTCCCGACGGCACGTGTACTCACACAACTCAGGACAAAATGACCAAAATAACTAAAGAACATCCAAATAACAGCTTGCTTTGTCCTCATTGGCTAATATATGCAAGATGACATGCAGTGGAACACGATGCCCATTGGAGAACTGGAGAATGAGGTTTCTGGATATGTATATGCTCTCACTCACAAAGCAGAAGTTATCTAATTCGCAAGGTTTTGTTTTAGATATAATCTAGAGAAAACTCAATTACTTTCAAACGTCCAAAATCACTTTTTTTTTTTTTTGTTCATAAAACAAAGTATTAAGCCAAGTTCCATAAAAATCGTGAGAAATTTTAAGAATAAGAAAAAGTCAGGAGAAATATATTGTAAATCGGGTTGGCGGGAGAGCGGTTGAAAATTGGGAGTCTCCTGCTTAAATCGGGAGAGTTGGCAACTCTGTAAATATCCCTCAGGATCCTACAGATATTAGAATCTAAACTTTTAGAAGAATGAGAATTGTTACCACAAATGATAACCAATAACCTTATTTACAGTCTGAGGATCCTTTGTAAGGCACATAAAACTGTATGAGATGGCCACAGTCATTATTAACTGAACAATTCTGAAAAATGAGGTGCCATGTTTTTGACATTTTGGGTTTAATTTAAATATTGTGATTACATATAGCAAAACTTTTACTTTGCCTGCAATGCCATCTGACTGTATCGGGCATCTGGGTACAAAACATCATTACAATAAATCAGTTGTGAAGAGAATTCGATTGAACCTAATGTAGAGTGGTGTTGACACTGTGCAAGTGATGCCAGTTTCTAGAACAAATAAAAACTTAGGCCGCACAACCGGTATAGTGGTTAGAGTCGCTGACTTATGTGCTGGGCAATGGATGTTTGTAAATGTATAATGTCGGTGCGGCATGCCGGCATTCTAAATATGGAGCTAGATGAAAGTCCTCTTGTGTGGTGGAAAGGAAAGGGGTGGGGGACAGGTCCAAAGGGTTCTCTTCAACAAAATTGAGCAGGGGGACTGAGCTAAATCACACTGTCACCTGAAAGGTGGGCAAGACTGTTGCCAACGGCAAACGTAATCTAGCACTCCTTGCCATGAGGAATTTTGTGGTCTTTTGCTGACTAAGTCAGACAAATGAACATAAGCAATAACAACAAAATAAAAACTTAGATTTAGTTTCTAGTTAACAGTTTAACTGAGACAGCTGCAACCATGAGCCCAAATACAACACTGCGACTGATTTTTTTCACGAACTAAGCTGGATGGACATGAATCATATGGTAGGGATTTTTTTTCTTACTTATTCCAATTTATTTTAAGTGTATTCAAAGACCACAGACTTGAGGAGCCTGAAAATTAAGTAATCTAAGATAATTATGCTGATCATCCTTTGTATTTAACTGTTTGATCAAACAGTGTTTAATTTAGTGCATTTATTTAATTGTTTACATATTTATTTATATACTGGTAAAAATATGAACTTTTTCAAAATTGAGTTCTGCTACATATATATATATATATATAAATTTACGATAAAGTGTAATAAATAGCTATTATTGCATAACTGATATTATATTTAATTTTACATTTTATTGTATAATTTTCATAATTATATTACCATTCTAATACATTATTATAATAATTTATCATAATAATTATTATATACCATTATCTTTGAGCTTAAAGTATGTACATTATTACACTGAAAAAAGTATAATAATTATATTATAAAA